CCGATGAGGTGAGTGCTCCCTGATGCATTTTACTGCTGGGCTTCCAGATCGTTCATTCTGTTCTAGTCGCAATGTTTCCGAATGGAAACTTTCATCTGATTTCCTCCGAATCGCCTTATCTCTTCTGATACCATTCACTGTGGCCACAGGTCGATCCGAGCATCATGAAAGAAGAACTCAAAGCCGATGAGGACATCTCATTCCGGAACGCCAGCTTCACGTGGGGAGATGACGAGAATCCCGTTCTGAAGAATCTCAATTTTTCCATAAAGAAAGGGGAACTGGTCGCCGTCGTAGGTTCCGTGGCTGCCGGGAAATCATCGCTCATCCAGGCGATCATCGGTGAACTCATTCCCACCTCTGGGTCAGTCAGCCGGAGAAAAGAGGTTGGTTTCTCTGGATCAGAATCTCCCGTTCGGAGCATCCCCTAGAAGTGCCGTGTGATCCGAAGTTCCTGTTTTGGAGAATCTAACCCCGACTCCTCATTTTCAGCGTAAGATCGGCTACGTTCCGCAACAAGCCTGGATTTTGAACAGCACGGTACGGAAAAACATCCTCTTCGGATGCGCCTACGCAGCTCGAAGATACCGGGATATCGTGAAGGAATGTTGTCTGCTCCCCGATTTGAAAATCCTCCAAGCCGGTGATTCGACGGAAATCGGGGAAAAGGGAGTAAACCTGTCCGGAGGCCAAAAGCAAAGAGTCTCTCTTGCGAGGGCGGTTTACCTGGATGTGAGTGTGCATGTTCAGAGCTGAAGTTGGCATCAAGATTGCCGGCTCGTTCAGTGAGATTCTGAGTCCATCTCGAATTTTCAGGCTGATATCTATCTTCTGGATGATCCGCTCAGTGCTGTGGACGCTCACGTAGCTTACGACCTATTCAATGACGTGGTCGGCCCGAAAGGTATCCTCAGCGGGAAGACGCGTATTCTCGTCACCCACTCGGTCGCCGTTCTGCCCCATGTAGACAGGATCATTGTCTTGGAGGACGGAGAGGTCACACACCGGGGCACGTATGATGAGATCATGAGCCAAAACGTTCGCCTCAAGGAGCTCGTCGAGACACATGCGAACACGGGCAGCGAGAACTCCGTCCACGATGAGGTTTCACGAGGCAGCGACGAGCCGTCTACAAGATTGTTAGTACGGCTAGCTCATCCTCCTTCGCCTGATGGTGGAGGCAAGCTCTGTCTTGGAGTACATCTCTGACTTCCCACTTGATAAATTACAGCCGAAAACGCACGCGGTCGGTCGACAGCGTCTCTTCGAATGTCAGCGGCTGCGTAGAGCGCCAAATGCCCGACATTCCTTTCGGGAAACTCATCGAGGAAGAAGAAATGGAGGTTAGGAGGACCCGAACTGCATGATTTGTTTATGGAGAATGTCATCCGACCCATTATTCATTCAATTGAATTCCGCAGGTTGGCGTGGTTCGATGGAGAGTTTATTTCGAGTTTCTGTGGCATTTCGGTATCATCGGAACTATCCTGGGGCTCACTTGTTATGCCCTTTCCAAAGCTGCCGATCTCTGGTCGCTTCTTTACATAACGACCTACAGCAAAGAGATAGAGAGTAATATCGAGTTTTCTTATCGCTGAATCCACGAGCGAACTTCAGAAATCATGTATCAATTATTGCCGAATGATATCGCGATGAAATCTAACTGACGTCTGATCCCGATCGCAGTAAAGAACGGAACTACCCCAGAGGACATGTGGTCCCACATGCAAATATACATCGCCATAGGATCCTCCCAAGGCGTAGCGATGCTTGCTGCCCTTACAGTCCTCTCGTTGGGCTGCATCTGGACTTCGACATCCCTCCACAACAAGATGCTCGACGCGGTGATGAAAGCTCCCATGAGTTTCTTCGATGCCACGCCAACGGGTCGAATTCTGAACCGGTGAGTCCGAATCGGAAGAGAGAGCTCTGCCAGGACACTCCGGAACGTTTATTCCGGAGAGGTTCCTTAAGCTGTATAAGTCAGTTGAAGTGCTGGGTGTCGCTCCCGGAAGACGTTTCGTGCAAATGCAGCATTCGGGATTTGAATAGTTCACGCCAGAAAGTCGCGGAAGGAAGCGCCGAGAGAACTTTTTCCAGAGGGAGAGCCTGGACTTGTCAAGTCGGATACCCGGGAGCGTCATTCCCGAGAAATATCATCGGAAGCACAAATTGAAACCATCTCTCTCAACGAGAAAATCCTGTAAAAGCGAATAATCGCTTCCCGCCTATCTTCCAGGTTCAGCAGAGACGTCGATGAGCTCGACGTCAGCCTTTATATGAACGGCGACGGCTTCATAACAACTTGGACGGTTTTGCTGGTCACCTTGATTTATATCTGCATACACCTACCGTATGTCCTGATATTCTTGATACCCCTATTCGCCTTTTTCCTGGGCATTCAGGTGAGCTACAAACAAAAAAAACAAATATCATCCGTATCCGGCAATCCGGTACCTATATCATGCTCACAATGCTCGGTTCATGAGTGCTCGGCCAGCGCTACGGCAGAATCTCAGAAATCTATCAAAACTCTTGCAGAGATTCTACGTGGCCTCATCAGGGCAAATCAAACGCTTGAACGCGGTGACCAAATCTCCAGTCCTGAATTGCTTCAACGAAAGCATAGCGGGAACCACGAGCATACGCGCCTATAACGTCCAGAATAGTTTCATAAGTAAGCACATGAGGCTTCTCGACAACAATCAGAACTGTCTCTTCCACGAATTCAATGGCTACAGGTGAGTTCCCTTTCATTGCGTGGATTCATTATAATTGCAATTTTCCGATTGCGGGCAAAGGATTACGGAGGCAGGGCTATCGCGACGGCTCTCGCGGATCTTTTAGCTGAACACGAATACTTTCCTAAAACAGATGGCTTGCCATCCGGCTCAATGTAGTGGGATCATTCATCGACGTGGCAGTCTGCGGGATGCTCATCTATTTCCGAGGCTCGATGCCCACCGAGATCGCTTCTCTGCTGTTCACCTGTTCCCTTCGAGCCTCTGATGCTTTCGCGTGGATCGTGAGAATGGGTGCCCAGGTGATTGACGCCATTCATGAATTGTTGCGAACGCCTTTGAAGGCCTAAGGACGCATCAAATTCCCCATCGTTGACGGTGCGGCCACTGACCCGGATCTGCCCACAGGTTGAAAACTCCTTGGTCTCGGCCGAGAGAGTTATGGATTACACCAAGACGAAACCGGAAGCTCCTTGGTATCTCGACCGAGAGCCCGAACCTGAATGGCCCTCAGAAGGCCAGGTGCGTTTTGAAAATTATTCGACGAGGTATAAAGAAAACCTCGACCTTGTTTTGAAGAAGATAAACCTCGAGATCCTGTCCGGGGAGAAGGTTGGCATCGTCGGACGCACAGGAGCGGGAAAAAGCTCCCTCACGCTGGCCCTGTTGCGAATTCTCGAAGCAGTCGAAGGCAAGATAACGATCGACGGGACCGACATCTCCGAGTGAGTCACTTCGAAGTTTTCCGACTCACAAGTCTATCGAGCGTAGTTTTCCGCGCGCTTGAGCGTTAAGATGACTCTGTTCTCCAGATTGGGTCTCAATGCTCTCCGATCCAGATTAGCGATCATTCCACAAGATCCAGTTTTGTTCGGTGGGACTCTGAGAGAGAACGTCGACCCAGAAGAGCGGTACTCGGACGAAGCACTTTGGGCTGCATTGGAAAAAGCTCATCTGAAAAGCGCGGCCAAGCCGCTGTCGCACAAAATCGAAGAAGGTCAGCCCGGAGCTCAAGTCCTAACATAGGGTGCATTCGGACGGTTGGAGCACAAACGGACGCTCGCTCGCTCGCTCAATAAGACGACAACACTCATTTCAGGGGGCTCGAATCTCTCTGTCGGCGAGCGGCAGCTCGTTTGTCTAGCTCGAGCGCTTCTGAGGAATTCAAAAATCCTCATTCTCGACGAAGCTACCGCCGCCGTCGACTTGGAGACGGACGCGCTCATCCAGAAGACGATCAGACATGACTTCGGAGGCAGTACCGTCATAACAATCGCTCACAGATTGCACACAATAATGGATTACGATAAGTAAGCGGCTAGACGACTGGAGAGAGCGATTTGGACTGAGATATGCCTGGACTTCAATTGATCTGAATTTCCCTGACAGAATCGTCGTTCTGGACCAGGGAGAAATCAGAGAAGTCGGTTCACCCAGAGAACTCCTTCAAGATCCAGACGGAGTCTTCAGCTCGATGGCCAGAGACGCGAATATCCGAATCGATTCGTGAAGCGGCATCGTGGTTGCTCATTCATGTGATTCTTCCAGGACCGGCCTAAGAGGTCGAGCAAACGCGCTGCTCGAAATAAGTCGGATTTCCTTTGATCCCATTTATGTACATTCAATCGAGCGCGATGACGGGCGGAGTCGCGGGTTCCGACTCGAGCCACGCAAAGATCATGAATAAATTGAAAATGCTATTTATTATCGGATTTTCTTCTGCTACTCCCGATGGAAGCAGCGGCGGCGATCCAATACTGACCTCGGTGCTTTTCTGAGGATCCTTAAACTGGACTCGCGTGCTCGGAGAAACAGTATACCCAACAGAGATTACAACGGAAGGAAATCGTAGGCTCCTGTTCCCCCGCAGCGGTCCCCGGAACACGTTTTACACCGATCTCCTGGAGCAACTTCGATACCCTCAACGCGACGAGTAAACATGAACGCGGTCAAATGAATGATCTTCGGGAGCATTTACTCGCTCCGAATATCGGAGCTGATTCCTTCGAGTGTGTCATCTGTTCTGCGGAAGACAGCGATGTAAAATCATCGAGCGGCTCCGGATGCCTCTTCATTTCTCCTCAAGCTCGCCGAGACACGCGGGATGGTCTACGTCTATGTACCCGCTATGATGTCGGGGGAACTAGCTGGGCATACCCTGCGATCGGTTCGATAGAAATTGGATGGACTCAAGATCACTTGGGAGCCGAATTTTTGAATGAAGAGCCATTCACCGGGTTCGGGAACGATAGTATGCGGGACACCTTTCCAATGAGGCTCTGCTCACTGGCGTAGAGATTTGCAAGAGGGTCGAGTGCTCAAGGAGGGGCACACTGCGAAGATTCAGGAGGTGTGTTTCAGTTTAGCTCATGAGCTTTGGACTCATGAGGCCGCAGTTATTCATGATGACTCGTCACGCAGACTC